GCTCATGTGAGTAAAGACTGCTTATTGCTTTCTGTGTGGCCTTCAAAATGTTTTTATCCTACTAAAATATGCCATACTTTGTGAGAGTCATTGCCTCTGTATGAGAAAGCAGAATCATAGCCACTGAACTAAATTCATGCCCTGTGGGAATAATCACAATTCAGCAAAATGGGTGGGAAGGAAAAGCCAGAGTTCTAAGTGTGCACCCTAAAAGAGGTCACAAAAGAGTCAGAAGCACAACCTTAGAACCAGGATAGCTATCTGGTGGCGGCAGTCCAGGAGGCATGATGGGAATCCTCTACTCTCATGAGATTTAGGAAAGGAAGAGATCATGACAGCAACATGTAGGCAGAGACAGTGCAGGGACTTGGAGGCATGTTAATAACTGAGGACAACTGTGTTCCCACTCTGTCAGTGACTAATTGTGGGTACATCTTTACTAGCTTCAAGCCACTCAAACCTGCTGCCAAAAAATAAGCCCTTCCTACCCACTTACACTTTTACTACTCTGAACTGGAAATGAGGCAGTAAGGGCCCTTCTAGGGGTCCAAGGACAGTAGAAGCAGATCACACACAGAGAGTGAGAGATGTTCCCAGAATGTCCTCACCATCACATTTCTTCTGAAAAGCAGGGATATCCTGAGGTTCATTTAATGTTTGTAAAATGCTTGGAGAGCCCCACATAGATGCACTGCATAGAAATACAAAATATATTTTGACTTATTTGGTTGGCACCTTGGGCTGAAATTTTCAAAGCTGAGTCAAAAGGCCAACTTCCATTAAAATGAATGGGATTTAGAGGGCTCCAAATCTTTTATGACAACTTTGTAACATGCCTATGTACCTCTTTTTGCAAATCTGCGCCATAGTTTGGAAGCTCAGCCAAAGAACAGAAGAGCATAAAAAGTGCCATGCTTGGTCAGCCCAATGGTCCATCTAGCTCAGTATCCTGTCCCGAACAGTGGCAGAGGGGGATGGTTAGACCCATTTCATTGTCACTTCCTGCAGCTTCATTGGTGTCAAAGGTCATGTGACATCACTTCCTGATGTGATACCGCTTCCTGTGAGGTCTTTGAATATGGCTCACTAGCCCACTGTGTGATAAAAAGTTCATGATCTGGCTCCACATTCAAAAAGGTTGGACACCCCTGATCTAGTCCAACCCCATGCTCAAAGCAGGACCATTCCCAGGTAGCTCATCTCAGGCAAGGCTTTGTCTACCCAGGTCTTAAAAACCTCCAAGGATGGAGAGTCCAAAACCTCTGTGGGTAACCTGTTCCAGTGCTTTACTACCCTCCTAATGAGAGAGTTTTTCCTAATATCATTGTTTCCTTTTCCAATACTCATAGCATGCTTTTTTCTGTGTTGTTCTTGGAACAGTGGACAACTGTGAGATTTATTTATACAGTCATTTTTTTAATATGAGGTGTTTGTTCGTTTATATTTTAAACTGATACTGGTGAATGTTAATCATAGAAACATCTCTTTGGAAGTACAGAAGAGTGAGGAACACTGAATACCCATAGCTTCTATTAACTGAACTGCATAGCTGTTGGTTGGTTACCATGGAAAGCCCGTAAGGTCCTTCCTTCATTTCTGCTTCACCACCTTTTTATTGTGTTATCCTCTTGCCTCTGTCCTATCAGTTCTCTGCAGCTTTATCTAGGGCACCTGGCTACTTTTCAGTGCATTTCAGATGGAAGCATGTGAAGAAAAGGGCATAGGCATGCTTCAGTTCTTTCAATATTCTTCTTTTTCTCTCATTCAAGTTGTAAGGGGACTGCATTCTAGAAATCAATTCAACTTGCTGAAGTTTCTCATTCCACTCCTTCTGATACCCAACCAGGTTTGTGCTTTCTCTCTCTCCTGTTGTAAAACCTATACTTTTTCATGAGGTTTTTAAAAATACTACTGTGCTTTTACATTAAGATCATTCTTTCTGGAGGGGGAGTTAGTGAAGAGGAAGGGATCCAGCCATCTAAATAATCATTGCTTATTTTAATGTTATAGGCTTCCAGAAGTGAGGATGTGCCTTGAAATAAAGTGGGATATTGCAGTTCTACAACAGTGAGCTTAACACAGTTTCCAGGACCTTTAGTAATATGGTGAGAGACAGACTTCTGTAGCTTTATTCTGCTATTTGAAGACGATCTGAACAACATTTCAAACTAATGTTTCTGTTATTTCTTTTTTTTTTTTACTATGTTTGAGCAAACACTGCTGCAGTGAATCTGAATTGAGTGATACTAACTAATATAGTACTGAGGTCTTTTATACAGCACAGATTTCACTGTGGAAAACTGTGTATTTAATATTTTTATTTTAACAGTACTGAGATCCCATACAATTGTTTAAGCTGTTTTATGGGAAAAATGATCTGAAAATGTTACTTAGGCTTATTTTATAACTATCCAGCATATATGACCAGGCTGTTTATACAACACTTCTCAGTTGGTTCTGTATTAGGTGGTCTCTAATTTGGCTGGTAGCATCAAAGACCTGTCAGTTATTTACTGAAGAGGAACTATATATAATACCCTCTAGTATTCCCACATACAGAAAAGCTGTACCGCACCAGATTAGACTATACTAAAAATTGTTTTCATCTAGGCTTTCTAGCTGAGCTTCTTTCCTGCTGTTTATCCCTGCCTGATTGTTTCAGCCTTACTTCTCTATTGGGCATGGATTTCTAAGTCGGTTCAGAGTCCACTGCTACTGGTTTATAGCAATTTTCTTGGTTTATTTACGCTATATATTTATATATAAAAATAGGGAGACAATCCTGCATTTACATGCTGTTATGTAGTGCTGGGTGGACATAATATAAAAGGAACGGCTAAACAGGACTATATATCACAGGCCAGAATGTTTAGGGAAGCAAGAGAAGTACTTGAACTTGATTGCACACATCTAAAAGGAGGCTGAGGCCAAGCCCATCAAAGCAGTCAAATCTAAAGTTTCTTTGATGCATGCTGGAGGAAGCATGTGTAGGATGGAGCTGGTTAGATTTTACCGTTCTTCATGTTAGAGTTGTGCAAGCAGTAGGGTTTGACCTTCACTCTTTTTTTTCTGTCTCATCAGATCTCCATTCATTCTGCTTTCATGATTACGTTTGTGTAATGCTGTAAATGTACATGATCCTTTAGACATACAGTTTTAAGATGCTGTTTGTTTAGGTGTCTAATCCTACCCCCAAAGCAGTGATAGCACTTTATGGACCAGATTCTTTGATTATACTCTGGCTTTTTTGCATTGCTCCAGTGATAAAAATCAACCTTTAATTTGGTAGGGGCAGATCGAGGCTTGCAGTTTAAATTGGTTTTACAGTCATATGTGGCAGAAGGATGGGGCTAATGGGGCTTAGCACTCCCAGACATGGGCATTGGTGGCAGCATAGAATGCTGCAGGGCAGCCCAGGCTCAGGCTCTAGGCGGGAGGGAGGGGTGTGCACAGACACTCAGCTGCAGCCTGCAGCAGCCTGGTGGTGTGTGGAGCACTACCCATCACAGCAGCTAAGTCTGTCATGGGGAAGTGGCATGTGGGGCGCAGATCGAGGCCCCTGTGGTAAGGGAGGGAGGGAGTGGAGTTGGGGTGAATGGCATGTGCCCCCTGGGCCGCTGATGGGACATGCACAGTGGCAGAAGCCCCCCATGCCCCTGGACACAATGCCTGGGCTCCAAGCATCCTACCACCTGCCCCAGCCCTGGGGCCCCATTCACCCCAGCCCCTACCTCTGCTCCAGTCCCTCACTGTGGGGGTGTTGATCTGCCCCTCCACACACCCTCCCCATGATAGACTTACCTGAAGCAAGGCCTGCCTGGCCTGGCCCCACCCCTAGCCCCCTCCCACCTGGAAGCCCTGTGCTTAGCAGAGTCTTTTGGCCTGTGCCCCTTGGACTGTTTCTGCCTCCCTGCATCCCAGAGGAAAACTCAGATAAGAAATGTGTGTGTGGGGGGGGGGGCGTGGGTGATTGCCCCAGTCCTCGGGTCCAGGCCAGCTCCTGCTGAGTCCCTCAGTGTGGTCATGCATCCAGGAACCCTATGGTGCTGGTGCAGCCAACAGCTGGCAGGAAAGCAGGGAAATGGCAGCTGCAGGTTTGGGGGAGTGGGAGCTGGGTGGTAGTGTGGGGCCTGTGCTGGTGTGCCAGGGCCGGTGCTGGTGGGGTTCAGATGGCATGGCAGGAGTATGGGGTCTGGCATCAGCTGTGCTGGAGGGGTGGCAGGTCTTCCGTGCTCCTGCCACCGTATTCTGGGCCCCTCTGGTGCTGGCCCCAGGACACCAGCATGAGCCCTGTGCTACTGCCCAGCTGTCGCTGCACTCCTGTGTGCCCGGCCGCTGCTCCTTCCCCTGGCCTGTAGCTGCCATTCACCGCTTTCCTGCCCATTGCTTCAGGTACTGGGGCCAGGAACGTGTGCGTGTATTCATTGGGTGAGTCCCACATGCACCCCCCACCATACACATGCACCCACACTCCCTTGCACTTCCATACATGCAGGCAGCCACAACCCAGCCACCCACACCCCACATATCCACACACATACCCACATGCTCCCTCACCCCACATCCACACTCCCACACCTATCTCCCCTCACAAACCCCTCCTTACACACTCGTCCACACACCCATAGCCCCTGACAAGCCTACAACCCCCCACAATATGTAAGAGTAAGACTTCATTTAATCTATTATAGACAATCACTTCTATGTGCACTATACAAATGCATGTAAATCAGGACAAAAATATTTTTTAAAATCAAATTAATGTGTGTTGTAGATGTTCACTTTTTAGAATATAATTTGGTATTTTTCTGGTTCCAAGGTGGCAAAACCCCTTTCTGAAAAGAGTACTTGCGGGGGCAAGGGGAGGGACTTCTGTTGGCAAAGGTCAGGGGTTAGGGGGTGGGACTTTCAGTCACAAGATGGTGACTAGGAGGAGAGGCACCTGTTAAGGGGCGGGGCTACCCATGCGGCCCTTGACAGCTTGCCAAAACTGGGTAAGTGGTCCTCCACTTGAAATAATTGTCCGCCCCTGGCCTGTGCAGTAGATATTACCAGTGTAATGCAAGTATCCAGAGCATACCAGTGAATCTTGCCCTATATTTTCACCATACCTCTCTCTGAAACTTGAATTCGCTGGTATTAACCTCTGTGTAATAGGAAAATAGTTATTTGTCTTTTGCTCAATCACTACACCACTAGTAATCTGGAAAAAATGGCATGAAAACATTCCTTTGTTCATGTAATTTTATTCCCCCTGGTATTTTTTCCAGACTAGTTTTGAAAGTTCAAAATAGTTTCAAGTTATCATTACTTTTAAAATTCATTCCCTTTGGTTACTTTTCTTCCACTAATCTCTGCTCTTAAGCCAGACCATTAAAGAGAGAAAGAGAGAGAAGCAAACAAAACGTCTAAAAAGTAGTTCAGAAGTATACAAACACCTTTGTATTTTGTGTGATAGATGAGGTCAGTTGAAGCTGAAATCAGCTGTTCTGTTAAAGCAAGAACTTTTTGCCTGGTACAGTTATGACTTGCATTATTGATGAACCCATGATATTCAGGCTGTCTGCAAGAATTTGGCATTGGTCCATCTTTGAGTTGCTGGCTATTAGACCAAAAAGCACTGAGATTCTGCATGGTATAGCCAGTAATTTATCATCCCTTACTTTGTACTACTGACTCAGGCATGCTTGCTTCGGCCAGGTTTGTGCATGGAGGAAGCTCAGGTTTTTGTGTTAAGTGGGCTATCATGACTCTGAAGTGAGTTGCCTTCTTTTGAAAGACACTGCTTCTAGTTGATTCTGAACAAGACTGCTGAGATGTAGTTTCACTAGCATGATCCACTTGCAATGACCTGCACTAATTCTTTCCTTTTTTCCTATTTTTCCCCAGATAAATGGCTCATTTAAATTGGGAGCTACTAAAATACTTTCTGGTTGGCAAATGCAGTGCCTAGCAGCAGCCGTTAAGAACGAACCAAACATGAGTGGAGGAGGGGAACAGGTCGACATTCTGCCGGCCAACTATGTGGTCAAGGACCGCTGGAAAGTGGTGAGTAGTTCTGACTGAATTTTTCAGGTGGATCTCCTTCTCTGTCCCTGTAGAACAGGGGTGAGCAATTATTTCTGGTGGAGGGTTGCTTAACAAGGTTTGGTGAGCTTCTGAAGGCCACATGGGTATCCCCGCCCCTTGACAGTTCCTTGGTTGCCATCTTGGAACCAGACATCCCCACCTCCTAACACCCGACCTTTGTCACCAGAAGTCCCTCCCCTTTCCCCCTGGAAATACACCTTTTTGGGGGGGATGTTACATCTTAGAACCAGAAAAAAAACAAATCACACTAAAAGTCAAACATCTACTATAACATATTTTAATTTTATCACAAAAAGTATTTTTGTCATGATTTGTGTTTGCATAGTGTATATAGAGGTGATTGCATAATAATTCAAAATATATTCTTAGTCTTGTATATGTTGTGAGGGGGTGTGTGTATGATGGGCTGTTGGGGGTGTTTATGTTTGTGTATGGTGGGTGGTGTGTGTGGGGTGTGGCAGGCCAGTAGGGGGTGCTCCTGCATTGAGCCACCCACCTCACAGACCCCGACCACCTTCCAGGCTCTGAGTGCCTCTCTGAGGGCTCCTCCCAACTGGCCAACCTGCTTCCTGGAGCGCACCCGCTAGCTTGGGGGTAGAACTACCACCACCCAGGAATGGGCTTGATCCTGGCATGGTGCCCCCTGGGAAACACAGGCCTAGTAGCCCTCGAAGGTATTTGACTCACTTCAAGAACTTGAGATGCTTCCCTCAGTTGGAAGCACAAGTAGTGGTCTCCCTTAGTCAGCCAAACCAAGGGGACCCCAAGGCATAATTTAGACCCACTCCGAATAAGTCTCCCATGTTAGGTACAAAGGAGAACTTTATTGGTTACAAGGGGTAGGGTTGGACTAGAGTACAGAGTTGAGTATTATCAGAGAAATCCCATAGAGCAAACAGGGTGGCTGGAGTAGCCTTTGGTTATGCATCTGAGTTACTGCAAGCTATATATCTAGTTAGATCTCAGGTAGCTTATTCATGAGTATCATCGAGAGGCAGTTGGAGATTCCCTCTGGAGACAGGCAGTTCCTTGATCATGAGTTTTGAGAGAGAACAAGTTTCAGATGGTCCAGCTCCTCTCTCTCTCTGAGTTTTCCTCATGGCTGTTGCCCCCTCCTCCTAGGCAGTCCTTAACTTATATAGCCCTTATGACCTCATTTACCTGGTCCAATGGAAGCCAGCACCTGTTGGCTGTCAGCCAACCAATTTGAAATGCATCACTGGTTGCTGGGCAGACTGGCAGTCTCTAGCTCACTAGCGAGCCCAAGCCCCTCACCCAGGTATGTGATGCCAGTCACATAGTCAGAGGGAGCAGGTTTCCCCCCTCCCTCAGGAATGTATCCAGCTCAGGTTCTCTAAAGAGAGAGGGTAATGTGTGTACCCTCTGCAGGGCCCATCCTAACCAAATTGTCACAGAGCAGAGTTTTTGGGGAGAAACAGAGGTGGCCTTCTGCCACATGGGGGGCATATGGTATGTTGGGGGTGTGTACATGTGGGCAGTTCTGGGGGCAAGGTGTGGGTATGTGGTGTTTGTGGGGTGTGAGAGAGAGTTGGGGTGTGTGGGGACCCCCCCACATTCCTCCCATGGTGCAGCAGCAGGCAAAGGTGTTTGTGCCTGGCAGTGCATGGCTCTGGCCAGTGCTGCACATCGCAGCGAGGGACTCAGCCCCCGCCTCGCAGATCACGGGTGGGAAGCCTCATGTGCTTGTGCTGGCAACCTTTCCCAAACCCTGCTGTGGGAAGGCAGTCGGCTCCAGTGTGTGGAGCTTCACTCCCATGCCATGTGAGTATGGGGGCTGCGTGTGTGTGGTGGGGACTGCCAGTGATAGAGATGGCCCAGCAGGGGCTATGCCTCATGATGCAATGTGCAGTGCTGGCCGGAGCCATGTGCTGCTGGGCACCAGTGCCAGGCACAGGTGCCCTGAGTGCATCTGCCTGCTGCTGCTGCTTCCACTGTTGCCTGCCAGGGCTACGCACCTTGGGGAGAGTGTAGGGAGGGTTCCCCCCCCACACCCACATGCTGCCCACCTCAGCTTCATGCTGCCACTGCTCCCCTGGACATGGGCTCTGCATTGCTGACAGCCCCAGCCCCATGCTCTGTGGTCCCACCTAGCTGCAGCTCTGCCCCCACTCCCGCCACTTCCCTACCTGCTGCCCAGAGTGAGCGGGATGCTGTGGAAGTGGAGTAGGCCCCTGGTGGCTGCCACAGCAGCAGCAACAGCCCCACTCAGAAGCTGCCTGCTGGCTGGGTGAGGTCCTTCCATCCACGAGGGTGGGAGTGAGGTGCAATGGGGTATGTTGGGGGCGTGTGTATATGTGGATGCCTCACTCCCACCCTTGTGGGTGGAAGGGCTGGGCAGGGTACAGTTCATTGGTGGGAACCATGAGACGGGTGAAAGTGCTTGGCAGGCTGTATTTTGCCTGCCTCTGGTGTAGAAACTCTCAGCGGATTTACATTTGACTAATCCAAGAGCCCTAATTGAGGTATCTGATTTAGAGCATGTCAGTCGGACAATTTTAAGAAGCATTGCAGTGAGCACTTTGCTGCGTCTTTCTGGGTAGGACTGACAGAGCCTTTCTGCAAGGCTCAGAGGTACTGCAATAGGAAAAAAAACAAAGGCATGCCTATAAATACATAACAAACAAACACGCAAATCTGTGTTAAAAGACCATTATTAGGATTTCAAAGTCAAATTCTCAGATGTTAGCAAGTGCCAGATTAAGACTGCTGGTACAACTTTAATTCATCCCCCTTTATGTGAATGCATATGGTACAGTCTTTAATCACTTTATGGTATTAAATTTTTCCCCCACAGGACTTCCTTCCCTCCCCGCCATTAAGTGTAGAGAACTGGTCATGAATGAGTAGCTACTCGGTATTTCTTTTTATCCTCATTATGCATTGTGTAGTTCCAGGCTTTACTTCCTGTCTATCATTTAAACCTTTTTCAAACATCACTAATTTTCTCTTGTGTTTGTCCATAGTACTCCTTACTGTATTATCTGAGTGCTTCAGAAACATTAATGAATTTATCTTTACAAGCACTTTGAGGCAAAATTATGTCATTTACCCTATCTTATAGTTAGGGATTTAAAACCGCTTCTGATTTTTTCAGAATACTTCACATTTTGCAGTACTTCACATTTTAGAGTATATAATCAGAGCACAGCATCAACTGACATTGCTTGTACCTCTGTGTATGAAGGATTTCTGTACAGGAAGTTAGACTCTTGCTCTCTCAAATAAGGGACCCAGAAAACGAGGGACTCATAACTAATGATCATCTGTGGAAAATATAGTTTAAATGACTTATTTATCAACACAGAGGAAAATTGGGTGGAATTCCATTTTCCTATTTGAATCTAAATGGCAGTCACCTAGTCATGTAAGTGTTGAGGTGATATTGTTGTTGTGATGGTCCAAGAGCTATGTCAGGCAAGAATTCTTGCTGGTGATGTCTTTTATTGGACCAACTGTATGGTTGGTATAGACCAATGCAAGCTTTTGGGTATCATGGTACCCTTCCCCGACCTACAGTTGGCCCAATGTAAGATGCCACCTGCAAGAATTTTAGCCATGTAAGTTGCATTTTTGGCAGTTAACTCAGATGGTGATTGTATTTCCTCTCTGCAGCATAGACACAATGGTATGTGCTTAGATTATTCTTATTAGGCTATGCACTGGCTGGGCATGCATGTAGCTGCTTAGGCACAACCATTCTGGACACATACCTGTGTCCGAGTTATTAAAATGTAGCTGACGTTAATGGATTTTCAGGGATTTGAACAAAGTGGAATAGAATCACACTTAGGCTCCTAAGCCCAGTAAGATGCCCAGTAGGTGGGATAAATCTAAGCATTGGGTTCTAGTCGCCTTCCCTCAGTGGGGGCTTGCACCTACACCTCTGACTTTCTAGGACAATGCTGTAGCCCCTATGGTACAGGTTAGTCATTATCCTCCAGACCTCTGTTTAACCATTCTTTTGAAGCTGGCTCCATGGGCAGTCAAGAGAGGGGAATATGTGGTGCAAGGGGAAAGTAAGTAAGCTGGAGGGTGTGTGGCTGAAAGAAATGATTGCTGCCTTGGCTGAGTATAGACCTTGTGTTCTAGTCTGGACTGTTGTTCAAGGTAGGACAGATAAGTCACTTCTTTCTGTCCATTTTATCCAATGACTTCCAAATGTAAGGTATAGTGGCTCAGCCTCTAAAGGTACAGAGGGCTTGGCATAACAGCTGATATGTTGTCTTCTCGTTAGAGTGCTGTGCTCAGCAGTCAGAGAGACACAGGGTCAGACTTCCTCTGGATGAGAGAGGCCTGGGCCCCAGGTCGTTGGCTTCCTGGGCACGTGCCCTAAATAATCAGCTCATGGGCTTAAAATATGAAAAGGCTGCTTCTCTGCCTGCATAATTTTTCCAGGAATTATGATCCGGTATACACACGTATTGCTGCATGCAGACCCACCCAGTGCATTGCTGTACTGTGCATTCTCAGTCTACAAGCACATGCTTACACATCTACAGTGTAAAGCCAGGGCTGAAAACAGCTTCCCCCTGGCCTGGTGCCTCTCATCCCCCTCTGTCGGGGCACCAAAATAACTAGCTGTGCCTCTGTTTTTAGTGTTTTACTTGGCCAAATTTGTCGTAATTCTTACAGGAATGGAAAAAGGCACACCCCTGATGAGAGGATGACTGCTTTGCCAAATTTCATGTTCTTGTTTCAAAATACAGAGGTGCTGGAACTTCTTCATGAAATGGCTGTAATAATTTTTGAGCATAGGCCTTAGGACATAACATATTTTCAGAAACAGCAAAACTTTCTAAAATGTTCAGCCATAGGTAGACATGCAGAATAGAAAGTGGTAGTAGTCCTAACTATGTACATTGCTACTTTTTCTGCCTCTTAGTACATACATTCATAAATTGAATGAATGGAGAAAGTTGCAGTTGCACTGTCAGCAA